TGTTTATACCTCAATTGGGATTAAATGACAAAATAATGTTTTTTACCTTAAATGATGTATATTTGTTAAAAATAGTACAATAATCCTTTAAATTAAAGGATTTAATGCTGGCAGGTAAAAAGTGACCATGGTGCGCAATTGATAATTATCACCGAATGAAATAATGTATCAAACTCAAACCAAAAGAAACTTAAATATTAGTTAAAAAATCGAGGGGACTTAAAAAAATCAGATTTAATTTAATGAGATAATTATTACCAAAAAAAAGTGATATTTTTATAGAAAAATTATTGCAGAATCGTATAAGAAGAAAAATCGAACAAAATTGATTTTATTTATTACAGCGCCATCTATTACAAATATGAAAAAATGTTTTAGACAAAATCTACTTATTTTTAGTCGAATGATCCGAATCTGCAATAAAAAATAGGGTGTTCCATTGGAAATTTTAAAGTTACCCCCTGTTCTTCCTATAAGGAGGACCAATTTTAGAACTGATTGATTTCCCCCCTCGAATAATTTAATTTTTATTTTAAACATTTTTTCGTAAAATGCACACTAACTGAGATATTTCAATGTTTGATGTTAAATGACTAACCCTGTATATTTGGTAATTGTTATTTATACTGGGCAAAAATGTTACACGCAATAATGGAAGGCATGTGAGGCAATATTTTCCGCACGGAAGCGGCGAGCGAAGAAAATTGAAAAAAGCAGTAAATCGGGAGCGGGCAATTCGTACGGAGTTATGCCCCCGCTAACAAATAGCCGCCTTATTATTCAACTTCTCATGGAAAACGTGATCCGACGAAAGATTATTCCGGGTCCGACATCCGTCCCCCATGCCCCCCTTTGCAGCCTATGTAGATCTCCACTGGCGTGCCCAAATTTTTAAATATTGTAATAGTACACTCACAGGCAAAATAATCGATCCACACAAATTTTCGATGAATTTCAATCGCAAATAACTTTTTTATTTGATGTCGGATTTAAACGAATATTAAAGAATATTGGAGATAAATTAATGTACAATCGCTCACATTTTAAAAAATTACTAAAAAATAGATGTACGTTTGTAATATACAGGTTTAAACAAAAAGATGTTTTTTACCATAAGTTTAAGACACTCTGTAGAGTGGCAAAACCGTATATTGTTCTAAATTAAGTTTTATTTATTAAGTCACATCTATTCTTAACAGTTTTGTTTTTGGTTCACCTCGATATATATATTTTTGTGGAAAATATGGATTTTAAAAAAAAATATTCCAATTTCCAATATTTTTTCTGTACCAAGAACTAAGGTTGCTATGGTCCATCCATAGGCTATGGAGGATGGCAGTAACAGTTTTGTTAAATCATCCCATACTTGGACATGTCATACACGGCATTCAAAAGCTATCAAATTGTATTTGGCAAATAAATGTTTAAATTTTGAGGTGTCTTCTTACTTTAAAAAATGGATATGTCTCCGACTGATGTTGCCATAGCCATTAATTTAATCCAGGATGGACGGTCACAGTATTACATGGCAAGTGTTTTAAACGTCACAAGAAGTAAAGTACAAAAGGCAACATCAGTCGGAGACATTTTTTAAAGTAAAAAGACACCTCAAAATTAGCACATTAATTTACAAAAAACAATTTGATAGCTTTTGAAAGCTGTATATGACATGTCCAAGTATGGGATAATTCAACAAAACTGTCACTGTCATTCTCCATAGGCTATGGATGGAACATAGCAACCTTAGTTCTTTATATAGGAAAAATTTTGGAAATTGCAATGTTTTTTTTTAAATCCATATTTTCCACAAAACTAAATATATCAAGGTGAACCAAAAACAAAACTGTTAAAAATAGATGTGACTTGATAATTAAAACTTAATTTAGAACAATATACGGTTTTGCCACTCTACAGAGTGTCTTAAACTTATGGTAAATAACATCTTTTTGTTTAAACCTGTATAAACGTACGTCTATTTTTTAGTAATTTTTAAAATGTGAGCGATTCTCCATTAATGTATCTACAATATTCTTTAATATTTGTTTAAATCCGAAATCAAATAAAAAAGTTATTTTGGATTGAAATTCATCGAAAATTTGGGTGGATCGATTATTTTGCCTGTGAGTGTATATTAAAGAACTAATGTCAGGAGCGAGTTTTGTAATGGACGAGTGCGACAAAAGGTCTTATTTTGCAAAAATTCTATAAAAAAATTAATTTTATACCTTCAATTTAATTTTGTCGAATTTTACTTTAGATAGTTGGTATCACAGTCATTGGTTTGACAGTTAATGTCAAAATCGATTCGCCATGCCGTCCCTAATTTACTTATTTACAATAAGCGGCTGTTAATGTTAAAGAAGAAAAAAAGGATTTTCTTCGGTGTTAAACAAAATTTATTGCCAGAAATGTCTCGTAAGTACTAGAAAAATCATAAAAATATTATAACCAATATGGAAAATATTATGCTGTTTAAAGTATAGCCAACCTATAAAATAAAAAATTTAACGTTATGCTTAACAGTACAGTTTGTACGTTGACATTGTTAAATTGACACATTTTTTGGCAAAAAAATATTTACAATTTTATTTTACAACAAAACACAATACAAAATTATCAAGGTACAATGAGAGCAATGATAAAGTTAATACCTAACACAGTTGAAGAGTTGCAAAAATTTAAAAATGTAAAAAATAATGCAATCGTCATTTTTTTTAAGGGTAATATACTTTGAATACATTAATCAATAAAAAAAATTTAATGAGAAATATTTTCATTATTAAAAAATTAATGAGTAATGTCAAACAATAAATTATTCATTAAAAGATAAACAATTATTTCTAATGATTACTTTTATAAATTATATTCGCTCACAATGTCCATGCTTTTTGTAAAAGATAGATAAAGTTTATAAGACATTTAAGATATTTTTAAAATACTATAAATACTAAATCAAACTGTCATAAGCTACCAACTTAATAAAAAACACAAGTCCAAATAAAAAAAATTAACTGTAAATATTTTTTAAACGCCATTTTGGTTTTATTTTATAACCCTTTTTACTCCAGTTATCTATTTCTATTTATTAAATTACAAATTTATTTAAAGAATATTAACAACTATAAAATTTATTAAATAATATATTATTTTAATTATCTGGGTATGCTATTAAAAAGTAAACATTTATGAAAGGTAGGTATGTATGTTTTAATAATAAAAAATTTAGGTATCAATAAATATTTTCACTAAAGTTTAATGTTAGGGGTAATTCATTTACAATGAAACAAAAAAAAGTTATATGATTAACAGAGTAGTAATTTTATCTAAACAAAAGTTATTCTTTAATTATATTTTTTTTATAAGTATGTTTACTTTTTGGATTTACTTTTATATACAAACAAAAATACTGTCTATTTTTATACACATTTTAAATGAGTCGTTAACGACTGATATAAATTATATTAACCAATTTATATTTTAGATAATTTTATTGGCCAAAAACCAAATCTAGTAAACCATGACTTAAATAAAATTATTTCTATGGTTAAAAGCAAATGTCACAAATGTCAAATATATTATGAAATTTTAATTGTTTTATATCTAACTGTTTTAAAAAAAATTACTGCGTTGCCATGTCGTGCAAAAACCTAAATCCACTGATATGCAAAATAAGTTGAAATAAATAAATCAATACTTCTGCATACGGCCGCAATCTTTTAAAACCAAAGTAGCCAAAATTATGGAATATTCTGAAAAGCTTATATGAGGCCTGTCAGAGCAAAGTCAACAATCTCCCGTCAGACTAAAACTGAGTAAATTGAGATAATTGATTTTGGTATTTTGAATTCTAGATTTGTAATTTTTTTTATATATTATATTAAAATATTGTTGTTGTTAGTCTAATAGCAAACTACAAGGTCTCCAGAATGCATAGTATAGGTGAAATCTGTAATTATAAATTGGAGATTGCTGACTTTGATATGAATTGCTGGAGTTTGCTCATTTTGTTGTAAACGTTTAAGGAGATTTAGAAAAATAAATAAAAAATAATTGTATTTTTTTCCTTTGATGGTTATAAAATTTAACTATACAATCAATGTGGGAAAATTCTGAACTGGACCACATAAATCTGGAGTTTCTTCTAAATCTGGGACCAGGTTGCCTGGTGCAAAAAAGTTTTTATAGTACAACTCATCATCTTCTTTCCACTTTGCCCCGTTATGTTTTACTTGCAATGTTTTGACATTATCAGCCTTTTCTTGCTTTACCTTTACGTCTTATTATGATATAATAGCACAAAATAAACAAGATAACTTTTTTTATAATTCTTAAAACAATAAAACGTATATATACCTATTTTAAATATATTTTTAAGTGCAATTTACTGAAATAGAACTTAACAGTATGTACCAGTAAAAAAACACAAAATTAAATCTCTAAAATATGTTATAACATCAAATGTTAGGATATCAGGTGACACAAATGTCTAAGGGTGGAATTGGAGATTGTATACCTTGCTGCAAATCTATCAGTGGAGATTGTCGACTTTGCACTAAATGTCATTTTTAAAATAGGATTTTAGGCAGGATTTAGCTCCTTTTGCAGCACATAAACTTTATCATCTTAAAGATAATTAGTTGAAGTACAGTCTCCGCCAAAAATCTAATTTTTGACCAAAAGTGGAGATTGTCGGTTTTGCTATGATAGGCCTCATATAGTTAGCTATATTGAAATGATGTTTCCCAAGTTAACCTATCGTTTAAAACGGCAAATTTAATGATTACAAACTTAATGGTCATGTCTATCTCATACCATCACAAAACAATGGCATGTTTACATCTTATATTAAAGAACAGCTGGATACTGAATATTGGAAGCACATTGCAATTCAAGATTATGGGACCAAATAATAATAATAAGATTATCTTTGATTGAGTTGATGTCAGTAACTATGGTAAAACAAAAATAGTCAACATTTGTGAAGTTTCTCTGGTTCAGCTTTCAGTTCCAAGATTATAAATCATGGTTTATTGGAGAGACTTTTTGAAGAACACCAGCATTCAAGGTTTAATATATTGCTTCTACAGAAGACGTTCCAACCTCGAATGGTTATTTTGGATTTGTGCGTTTCTGGTATGCGTTATATCATCTCTCGTGGTGCTCATAGATATGATCAATTTGTACCATGTTCAACCCATTCATAATGTTGTGAATAAAAATAATTATCCGGTAAATGCAATACCTGCCCCGGCAATAACAATCTGCCTAAAGCCTGCTTTTGATATGAATTTTGATATATGTTCCTGGTATTATAAACAAGGTTTGTAGTTAAGTTTTTTAATTGTATAGGGTGTTGATTGTAACCTTGAATTGTCTAAACGCGCCTTTACAATTTTTAGAAAGTGAATACACGAAATTGGACAATCTAAAAAAATATATCTTACACATGATGAATCCAGAAGAAAATGAAGTCGAAATAAATGTAGATTATTTCGATACTAATGAATTCATTTTATTTACCAGATTGGGCAGCGTAAATTTAATAAAAAGTATCGAATGCACCTTGGATTTGTGGAAGCAGCCCTGTTTCAAAAGCTGGCAGACAATTTTAACGCCTAATGGAATGTGCATTTCATACAACATGGTCGCTTTGGAAGATTTGTACAGGGAGGACGTTACAATACCTTATTTGGGTGCCAACGAAAACCTAAGAGTTCAAAACTACGATGGTCAAAGTTCAGTGTACAAAACAAAACATACAGGAAGAGAAAAATTCGGCAAGTAAAGTTGAATAGTTAATTTTAATCAAATAATAACCAGATTTTATATTAAATTAGTGGCGGCTGGTGGATTTTATGTATACCAATATCTCAGTTATTAGACATGGGACCCTAACCAAATTTATAATAGTTTATAATGACATTAAATAAACAAGTTCGGCGCAAACAGAATTTCAATTGAAGTTTGCCAAAAAAAGTTAGTTTTTCCTGTTGCCTCACCCGCCTCCAGGCCCCTCTATTTGAGATAATTCAAATTAAAGTGGTGCAATTTATTATCTACTATAATTTATCGACAAATTTAAAATTTTATTTAAAAAATATTACTGATTTTATTCGATTTTAAATTTTTATTATTTATTTTATTAAAATTCCGTACATCATGTGTAAAATGTACATTTTCATTATTTATCACACAGGTTTCAGGTATAACAATATTTAATCTGTTAGTTCTAAATAGCATTCAAAATCAGTTTATTTTTATTAAACCATTGCATAACACTGCCTAACACTACACTTCTATCTTGAATTAAGCCTTCAAAAGTACCATTATCTATATTACTATTATCTGCATAATTTATCAGCATGTGTTAGTTTTCCATAAGGGAATTCCTTAAGTCATTAATATATACAGTGTGTATTAAAACGAATAGATACACTTAAATAAAACAAGTGCCAAACCCCGCCCACTGTGGTAGGGATTGACTCCGTGTGATTTTTTCTTGTGTGGATACGTCAAGTCAAAAATTTATGGATTTCAAGAGCTCAGGGCTAATAATCTTGATGAATTAAGGGTGCAAATCTTTAATACATTGGGAGATATTAGTCCTGAAATGCTGTTTAACGTGCGCAGGAATTTTTATGATAGGCTAGGGTATTGTTTAACTGCTGGTGGTGGTCTATTTGAACATTTAATTTAGAAAAAAAGTTATTTTCGTTATTTTAGAATTATTTTTGTTTGAGAATTTATATGTTTTATTTTTATCGAATTCGTTTGTTTTGTTTTAATGCATTTCTGCAAATAAAAACTAAGTATTGTTTAAAATCCATTAAATTCCAGTTAATGGCGAAAATGTATTTCTTAAAAACTATACACATTTCCCTACGACAGCGTCGGAGCTACTGAACAAAGTAGATCAAACTGCATGCCCTTGTATCTGGCTGCATGCCGCGCTGTTGCCATATGCTATTATTGTTTCCTAAATGGGTTGTTTTTCTTATTTTTTAATATTAAAAGTAAGAAAATTAACTAAATCAAATTATTTTTGACATATTATTAATTTTTTTGATATTTTTAAAGTTTCAAACAAATAAAATTGAACTATTTATTAAATAATTATAATCGTTCTCTTCTGATTTAAAACAACCTGGCAACTATGGTTCGTAATTACGAATGGCTTGGTTTAAACCACGCCCAATTAAAGTTTGTTTCTTTTTCTCTGATCAGAATATAATTTGTCATCCTTGTCTCCAGCCTTACTTACTTGATTCTATACAGTCTGTATAATGAAGAACAGAGGGCCTAACATGCTTCCTTGTGGTATTCCTGTATAAAAATATCTACAAGTTGAGGAAAACACTTGTCCATCCTTTTCCACCACAACTTTTTGACTTCTTCCTAAGAGATATGATGTTATCCACTGCAGTAGGATCTCTCTAACGCCATACATTTTCAGCTTGTTTATTAAAATTTCTAACATAAAATACCAAATGATAAAAATTTGTTTTAATAATTTTTGACTATTTTTTATAGATCAACGAACCCAGGTCTTTCTAAATATTTTTAAAATTAAAAAAGTGGTCTTACATTTTGAGACTTTTGTAGGTCTAGATGTGTATCCGCATAGAATTTTGGGAGCAGGAAGGAAGGCTTCGATGTCAATAGACGTTAAAAGGGTCTTTAGTAGTGACAAAACCAAATCGATGAAAAAAAATAAAAACCCTAAGTCAAGAGACATAAGATTTGGATGTAAGCCGGATAAATCTTCGGGGATGTATGTTGTGGTGCACAATCCGAGTGAAATTCCAGATTTTTCCAAACCGTTGTCTGCCCAGTTTGGCTGGTTAACAGAAATCGGATACACTCCAACACTCACCGATATTAGCGACTCGATTAAAGGGTACAGCCCAAAGAAAAGAGGCTGCTATATGCCCGGTGAAAAATATCTAAGGTTAGTTTAATAAATCTTAAAATTTCTCTATATACGAGGTGTGTTCAGAAAATATCGGGAATTTTCGTTTTTTGAAACAAATATTTATTTATTCGTCTACATTAATGTTGTCGCCTTCAAAATAGTCCCCATTGGATATTATGCACATGTGCCAGCTCTTCTTCCAATACTCGAAACACTTCTAAAACTCGATCTTTGGGATAACCTATAGTTCTTTCAGCGATGCGCTTTTAATGTCATCTATGCTTGCAAAACGACGGCCCTTTAAGGTTCTCTTTATTTTTGGGAATAGGAAAAAGTCAGACAGAGGCATGTCTGGAACATCATTACAGTATTGTTTTTGGCCAAATATCTTGTTCAAAATTTAACAATTTTAGAACAAATTTTGCTGCCACACGTTTCATACCCAAAACATTCGAAAAAATTGTATGGGATGAGCCAATCGATATACCAACATCATCAGCGACTTCCCTGATGGTTTATAACCATTTCTTCCACTTTTTCCATGTTTTTATCGGTACTTAATGTGCTTGTGCTTTCGGGGCGTTCGTCATCTTCAACGTCTTCACGGCCATCTTGGAAACTCTTATACCACTTGTAAACTCTTGTTTTAGTTATAGAAGACTACTATAGGCCTTGTTAACATTTTACAGAATTTATTTAATTTTTTAAGCAAAATTGGATACAAATTCTTTGATTCATTTCTTTGAACGAACGAAAAATCGCCGAGTTCATAAAACACGTCTAACCTTAGCGGCTACCACAGACAAAGTAAACAGTGAAAACAGCTAAAGTATTTATCATACTTCGGGGGCATGTATACCAACATAATAAAGTAAATTTTATGACAACCGGACTCCCCGCGAAATTTAACAATTTCCGTTATTTTCTGAACACACCTTGTACTGTACCTTTATCTGCCATTTTGTAGAATCTCTGATGTAATCGGACATTGTTTTAAAATTGTATCACCCTCTTTTTTTGGCGATTCAAATAGAATATGAAATATTGTTTTCAAGAATTTATACCTTTTTGGCTGATAGTTTATTAATTATTAAAAGTGGAAAATGTATAGCTTTTAATAATGTATTGATGTTTTATAGTTTTTGTTAAAAGTCTTTTTAATGGAGTTTTGATAAAATTAAAAGGCTCTTATAAAAAAAAGTTTATAAACTTTCTTAAAATATTTCATTTTAAGGTCAAACTCTTTCATTTTTATTTTTGTTTTTTGTTATTCTACAAAAAGCAAGTGTCGATATATGAAAGTTTTTTTATTTTACAATTCATATAATTTTTTCATATAAATTTTCACTACGTGATGTAAAACTTTAAGGTAAATTTTCAGTGTCTTATTGAGACAAAGATTATTTTTATTAACAGAATAAACTTTTTTTACTGTTAATAAAATTCTCATTTACTATAATGAAGCAGCAATGTTAAGCTTTTATAAAAAAAATGTTCATCCAACAAAGTAATAGTTGTTATCATATTTATACTTTATGTTTATATTAAATCTTTGTCGAACTTAAAATGTTTTTGTTAAATCTATAGTTGTGTGTGAATTGCGCTTACATAAAGTAATGCGCAGTTGTTTTAGTAAAATTTGTTCATTTTACTATGGCATATATTTTTTTAAATTACTATCGTTGTAATGCAAATTAATTTTATTTTAGCTAGAAAATCTTTATTAATAGGTTACGTTAAGAACAATAACAAAAATATTTTATTTCTATAAAAAGACTTTTTTAATATTTACTATTGTTTTGCAACGGTAACAAATTTTTTTTTATTTCCCTTAAAAAGAGGGGGAAAAGGGCCAGCGCTCTCCTTGGTGAACATAACTTTATAATCCACAGTCTGTGTTATAATCTTATTGATTTCACTTGTGCGAGTGAAGTGTGGTAAAATCTAGCATGATAAAAATATCAAAAAGATCACTAAGAAAATTAAAATTTCGACGTTTTCTAAACGAAATATTTAAGGTATTTTCTATAAACGAAGCAGACTTGTTGTTATATTAAATAATTTGTTTTAATGCCTTGCAATAATTAAAAAAAAAAACTACCCAACACCCAACAGTAGGTTGAAAATGTGACCATTGTTACAATGAAAATAGTTTATTGAATTTCAATTAATTTGTTGTTAAGTTTACATAAATTTTATTAATATTATAAAAAAAGTTTTATTTTAAACGAAAAGGGATTTGTAAAATTTAAAATAATACCATTAACTATATTTATCAATGCGTTTCTGCATCTGGAAGAGTGTTATTTTTATAAACATAACGTAAATTTACTTTATAATTAATGCAAATGCTATTACTGAAAGCAGCGTTTGTAGATAAATATTTTTTATAAAAATGATCTTTTTGCCGTAACAAAAGCAATTGTTTGAATCTTTACTTTATTAAGACACACTACTTTTTTGTTATATTTATTTAAAAAAATGGACATGTCAAAGATACTTGGAAGATGAAGGTACGGTATAAAAAGTGGTTTTCATGGATTAACTTATGATGAACCAATCAGAGCACTACATTCTCATCCGCAATCTAGTGTACGGTGGGGAATTCAGCGCTCTGATTGGCTAATCACCTAAAGAAAATAAAGTGAGCCTCTTAACAAAACCCTGTACTCTTTTAGGTTTTATAAAATATATACTCAAGCAAACTGTAATATGGAATGCCAGGCAAATTTAACTTTGGTCGTATGCGATTGTGTGCAATTTTTTATGCCTTTCACAAGTGAAATAAAAATTTGTGGACCGAACAAAGTGGCTTGCGCCAAAACTATTTTTAAACATTTTAGTACAAAAACGTAAATAAATTTTTAATCATA